AACAGATACAATAGGGTTCCATGCTCCGATGGAGACATGGAAACGCTGCTGCGTTGCAGCTGCGTTACCCTGCTTCCTCGGGCTTGGACCCCTAAATATACACCTCAAAATGGAAAACCACTGAAAAACAATGCATGAATGAGGACTTTGCAAACACCAAAATATGCACTGCCTGCCCAATAAAGAATGTAACATGTTGGCTCAACAGTACCTGCTCAGACGTGTAGGCCACCAGTTTAGAGAGGATGTCAGCCTCAGATCTGTCGGCGTCTCCGGCCTGGATCAGTCTGACTGCTTTACAGCGAGCAGCGAGCAGGGACATCAGGGTCGCCTCACTGGCTGTGCTCTTGAGGAGAGTTACAACATATGTTTGGTGATTTTAATGTTACACTTTGAAACAATATCAAAAAGAAGAGAAGTGAATAGATTAGTGGTGCAGTTCAGAACACAGGTGTTAATCAAACAGTAGATCAGGCTTAATGCTCATCACCCTTGAGGGTCGCTATCCTGTATATTTGAGGAGGGTCTCAGCTCCAACAAACCTGATTTGATGATTACCTTGAAGAGGTCATTCAGTCACTGAATCAGCTGTGTCAGATCAGAGCCAAAACATTTTTTTTTTGCACGTGCCAGGCAGTTTTATGTTCATAGAGCCCGACCCTGCAGAGCTGGAGATTTTGCGTAAACCCTCCGACTGTTCTCCACACGGGTTGTGCGCACTGCTCCCCAATTAAATAATTTATTAACTTATTATCAAGAGCTTGTTCCCATTTTCAAATCATTGTACAAGTTATTAACTGTACTGCCTTTTGGAGAAAACTTCACCAACGTAAACGTCAAGTAGATGAACTCCAGCCTCCAGCTTGCGAGCGTGCGCGCATCATCAGCCGAGCGCTGCGCAACAAAACCGAGCCATGTGGACCTGATGACTTATAAACAGATTTAGTCCTGATCTTAATGCTGTCTGTTTTGTCTGTGCCTTTGTCTGTATGTAGACAGAGACATCTGTCATAACTTGTCACTGTTGGGTGCAGCCTGTAAATGTCTGTGGGACCAGCAAATGGGCAGGGCCGTAAAATGGGGGGACAATGGCTCCCTGGCCGACCCTATTCCAGCACCATTGGTTTCCATCTCTGCTTTTGCACATCAACTCCATTACAGGATGGGGAAAATTGGTCTTGGCGGAGGTTCGCACTCTTTGAGTGCTTCTAGTTATTATTATTATTATTATTATTATTATTATTATTATTATTATTATTATTATTATTATTATTATTATTATTATTATTATTATTTTAATGATTTATGAACACTTTAAGCAGCATTTTGTAACTTCTGTTCAGCCCACCGCGGTTCTGTTGTGGTGGTTTGGTTTGGGGAGCAGAAATGAACCTCAGCCTTTAATAATAAATAATTTATCTTTAAACATTTAATTGAAACAGATGTCATTTTTATTAATATGAGGTTTGTTTCCATCTTTTATTGTCACTTTGGGATGTGTTAGAACAGTGTTTCCCAAAGTTGGGGACAGGACCCAAAGTGGGGTCCTGAAACATCAAGGTGGGGTCCTGAAAAGATTTTCTAAATTAATTACACTTTTGCCTTAGATGTTACAAAGGAGTGAGGTTAGTGTATTTAAAATGGATAAATGTAGTATAAAAATATTGTAACTATGCCCATGTTTTGTTAACCTGATACAAATGTTTATCATCCAAACATAGTTGGGGGCACAGGTCTCTGCTGCTGTTGTTTTGTGGGTCAAAAGCTGAAATGTTTGGGAACCACTGCACTTTGGTTCCCAAAGTTGGGCTTGGGACCCAATTATGGGTCATGAAGCACCTTGGATAATCTCCAGAAATCAATTTAAAGGGTAATAAAATAATTGCTGATGTAATATTTTCCCTAATTATTACAAAAACACAAAATAAGTATAAATACGTATTTATATTTGTGTACAAGCTGTTTAGATTATCAAAAAGCTTGTGTTTTTAGGGTTATTAATGAAGTTTGTGTGCTCAGACCAGTAATATTTGGGGTCACAAGTTTTCGCCATGGATATTTTGTGGGTCAGAAGATAAAAAGTTTGGGAACCACTGTGTTAGAACATAGGATGCCGACTGGCACAACGAGTATATGGAAACTTTTTTTTTTACGAAAACAAAAACATTTATCTGGCAGAAAAAAATATCCTTACAAATAGACTCTGAGGAGAACTTGGGGATTATGACTGGATGTGGGATGTCAAATGCTCAACACTCGGCTGAGCAATAGCAGCAGGAATATGTTGTACAAGTATTAAAGTTTTATGAAGAGTTGCAAAAAAAAAACAACTAATCTCAGCTTTTGATGGGCTTGTTTTTTTTTCTTTTTGGATTATTGTCACTAGTGTTGAATCTTGTAATTTGGGTTATCATAAAAACACAAGTAAAGTCAGAGACATCAAGTATTACACTTAAATTAAAAAAGTGATCAAGCTTTGAGTTACTATCATTTTTCTAGCTCTTAAAGCCTTAAGTCTCAAACTCAACCATGTCTACTTCCTGTTGGTTTCCACTGATAACACACAAATAAACCCCACTCTGACAGGGACTGATGAGACTACACAGTTTCCAGCTCTCAACCATCCTCCTCCAGTAAAATGAAATGAAGCCTGTTTTTTGTCAAAACTGACATTTGATCATGATCTACTTTGCAATTTGCTATAAATCTTCCTTTTTAGAGCTGGAAAGGAAAAACACAACAAAAAAGTAGGGAAATAAAAAAAATGGTGATTTATTAAACTCTGATCACATTCAGTCGAAAATTAAGCTTTAAGGTCACCATTTATTTTGAAATCATCCCACTTCCCCTTTGTGGTGACACAAGGTTTATGTTAATAAGCTGACAATGTGCTGGCCCAACACTCATTAACCCCGCTGCAGTGAGAAGAGCTTTATTGGTTGCCATAGTGAGCTGGTAAGCTGCTCTAAAAAAGGAGAATGGCAAGAGGCAAACAAAACCACGATGAGCCAGATGAGCATGGACACATAAATACGCCCTCACACAGGTGGAAACAATAGAGGAGGCATGAAATGATCAGTCATCAGAGTGCACGCTCATGCTCCACTACACACACACACACACACACACACGTTTAAAGAGAGGTTATTTTTTCTGCTCTTCAGTCAATGCAACGCTAAACTAATGCCTACCCTTTTTCCACACGAAACAATCCCAGCACCATCACTGTCATTTCTCTGCCGTCTGTCTGGAAATGACACATTAAAAGGCAATTTCCTGCCAATTTTCCTCCAGTCTGAGCCACGGAGACAAAGGCAACAATCAATAGTGCACAAATTGTTGATGATTATGGGAGCAGAAGATGGTCATCTGTGTGTGTCTGTAAAACACCTCCAAAGTTATTTAGACAGACACAAAAAATGGGGACATTTTCAATATAAACTTTAAAATTCACTCAGCAGGGATGTTCCTATTAGAGAAGGTGAACTATTGGGTTTAAAATTGGTTGTGACTGGTTCTCACATACTTTTTTTCGTTTTGTTTTCCGACAGCAACCAAGCAGGCAGCACATGAGCTGCACCGAAGTCTTTGACAGTTCTTGATTGTTTGAAATTTTTTGTCTCCGTTAACAAATGTTGCAACAACATCAAGAATTCATAAATATCTGCTCTGGTTTAAGGTGTTTGGACAACCATACAAAAGCTACAAAGATTCTGTCCACATTTATTACCTGTCAAGAATTTAAAAAAAAGAGAGAAAAAGGTTTTTATGTTTCATTTATTTTAACTCGACTGCACAGTTTTTGGTCCATATTTTAGTAAAAATGCACTTTGGTTGTATGACTTTGTGAAAACTAGAATTTAGCTCGTTGACCACTACTTTCATTTTTTTTGAGTGAATAATAGTTCTAATGCCAGTGACTGAGCATGCACACCCATTCAGTCAGTGATAAACAATCAGTAAACAGACACTTCACTGTGGAGTGGAAAATTGTTTTCATTGGTATGAAGAGAAATAAGTCTCACAATGCAAGCACACATACTCAACAAGATTTGCATGTGCACAAGTGCACAGATTTGTTCACCTTTGAATGTGACTTTTGGGACTTTCGCACGTGTAATGCTGCGTTCAAGGTTGGTGAAATGCTGGGAAATCTGAGCTTTACCACACTTTATTTGGTTATTGCGATAAAACATTTCTGACTTGTAGCTCATAAACCCTACAATATATTAAAACGCATACACTTGCATTGAATGTTACATCTTGTGGACTGTTTAGCTGAAATAAACAACCTAAAATGAGTCGGTTGAAAATGTATCAGAACAGATAATAATAATAATAATAATAATAATAATAATAATAATAATAATAATAATAATAATAATAATAATAATAATAATAATACACATTTTTCTTGTAGTTTTCCCAATTATTGTTCCACAAAAACATCCAATAAACCTATTTTTCAGTTTTTGCTGGGGTATAAATAAACTAACAGTTTTGTGTAGTATTCTATTTTTCTATAATACTTATTGGTAAACGAAGCACCAAGATGCAGCACGCATGTTGGTGCTGCGTCTGCAGTGATGTGGGTGCTGTTCCAATCTGTCGTGGTGAAGCGAGAGCTGAGCCAGAAGACGAAGGTCTCGGTTTACCTGTCGGTCTACGTTCCTACCCTCATCTATGGACACAACCTTTGGGTAGTGGCAAAAAGAACAAGATTGCGGATACAAGTAGCCAAAATGAGTTTCCTCCATAGGATGTCTGGGCTCTCCCTTGGAGATAAGGTGAGAAGCTCGATCATCGGGGACGGACTCAGAGTAGAGCCACTGCTCCTCCACCTCGAGAGGAGCTAGTTGAGGTGGCTCGGGCATCTGGTTAGGATGCCTCCTGGACGCCTACCTGGTGAGGTGATCTGGGCATGTCCCAATGGGAGGAAACCCAGAGGAAGACCCAGGACACGCTGGAGGGACTATGTTTCTCGACTGGCCTGGGAACCATACCTGTCAAGTCTCCCGTTTTGGCCGGGAAACTACCGGATTTTCCCCCTCTTTCCCGTCGTCATCCCGAATTATTATTTTCCCGGAAATTTCCCGTATTATAATATTATTTAATAAAAAACATTCTAGTGCCTCTGAACTATGTCACTAGCCTCGCGAGAACTGCCGCCTGCAGTAGCCTGGGTGGCAGTTCTCGCGATGTTAGTGTTGGCAGCGGGAACAAACCCGGAAAAACAAATCAGAGATGGATGAAGTTAACGAGAGAGAAGGCGTTCCTGCCAAAAAGGTTAAGACTTCGTGTAAATATCTTGAAAAATGGGACAGCGAATTTACTTTCCTAAAGAAGAGTAGGGTGGGGCACAATTACACGTTTTGTAAGATTTGTAACTGCGACTTTAGTGTCTCTCATGGGGGAAGGAACGATGTCCGTCAGCATGAAAAATCCGTCAAGCACAAACGCGGGCTAGAGGCACAAAAACATGCCCAGGCGATGTCCCCATTTGTGACTAGAAATGCCACAGAGGCAGACCAGGTCATAAATGCGGAGGTTAAAATGGCAATGCTGTGTGCGAAAAACAACGTTGCTTTTGCCTTCTGTGATGACTTCAACAAATGTGTAGCTGAGATGTTCCCAGACTCTGCAATTGCACGAAAATACTCAGCGGGAAAAACCAAGGCTACTCAACTCATCAAAGGTAAGCTGCATTAAATTAGGTATATTGTACATGCCTATTTGATAATGTTCCTTATACAATGTAGGGTAATTGTGTTAGCTAATTACTGGGCACTCACTCAACAGGTGCCATAGCAGCAGAGCTAGATGACGAGTTGGCCAAAACATGTCGATCTCAACCGTTTTCACTCATGTGCGACGAATCGAACAACAGAAAAACAGACAAACAATTCGTCATCCTGGCCAGACTCTATGATGAAGCCACTCTGCAGGTCGCTACAAGATTCATGGAGATGCCTGTATGCAATGTAGGAAATGCAGAAAATCTGTATGAAAAACTGAGTGAAGCGCTAAGGTAGGGGAACTGCACAGTGTTGTTGAAATGTGTAATCCGTTTGCATTTAATTATAATCTTAGGTTTTGTCTGAGACATTTAATTGTATTTTCCCTGTTTTCAATAGAAAAAGAGGCATTCCCTGGGAGAACCTGATAGCCTTTAACTCAGATAATGCAAGTGTCATGAAAGGCAGACACAACTCTGTCATCAGCAGACTGAAGACCAGCCAGCCCCACGTCCAGGACCTTGGTTGTATCTGCCACCTGGTACAGCTAGCCACTGGTTGTGGCATCAGAGCAGCCCAGGTACCAGTGGAAGACATCCTGGTGGGGATATACACCCACTTTGATAAAAGGTAAATACACATAAATTAAGTAGGCCTAGTATTGATCTTGTTCGTTCTAGGCAGTTGATATTCTTGCAAAAAATTTCTATCTTTCAGTGCCACAAGATGTGAAATCTACAAAGAATTTGTAG